AAATTTGGAAAAAGGTAAAACTATATCAAAGCTTATAAAAATGGCGAAACTATATCAAACACTTAGTAAAAATTTAGCGAAACTAAAGGTTTTACCATTTTGCAAATCCAAAATAAGTTTAGACAAGCAACCTTAGTAATGAAAGTAATAAGTAATCATTATGATTTAAGTATTTATTAAAAAATTTTATAAAAGCATTAGCAAGCAGATCTTATATATAAAACTGCATTAATATATATAAATTCTGCATATTATTCTGATAAAAATTCTCAATAAATATCTTTAGGATCACTTGGCATGCTGGTAAATAAAACATTATATTTGAGATGAATACTGAAAAAAAAGACCAAATTGACAAAAATTTTTTTTTAAAATAACAAATGATCTGAATCATATGATCAAATCTACATCTATTTTACTGAAAAACTTTTTTTTTAAAAAAAAAATCAATTTGATCCATTTTCTAGCACTCAGCTTATTTAGCATAATTATTAGCATTAACTTCTATCATATCTAATAGATCAGATAATATAGATTCTTTATCAGATGAATTATTGCTTTATTATTCACTTATACTACTAAAAAACAGTCTTGTTTATCAATAAATTCATATATATCCAAGACTTCTATTATATTAAAAATAATATTCTTCTGATCAACACTTGGACTAAAAATAGATATCATAATTATTTTCAAATTTTAATTGAGTTGCAACTTAATTACACCATAAAAAAATTGAATTGCGTCACAAGTTGCAACTCAATTGTATCATTTTTTAATTATAATGCTTATCTTTAGCTTAGACTTTACTTAAAATGTGTTTTCTTATAAGTTACTTCTATTTTTTGAAGTATAGTTCGTCTTTTAAATATTTTTTTATTAAGGATTCAGGTTGTTATTTAGTTAAAAAAATTTTGCAAATCAATTGATTCAAAGATAAGTCTTCATCACTATTATCTAAATATGTTTTTATATGATTATTTAATAACTGTCAATTTATGAAAATATTATTATAAAAGAAACACCTTAGCATCCTAAAATTAAAATTAAACAGTCCACTATAAAATATTGATAGTTTATTAAAGGTTATAATTGGTAATATACAATTGCAATTTATAAGAATAAATATATAATTCGTAAATAAAATAAAATATATAAATAATTAAAAATATTTTGGCATTCTTGAATGTATATAAAAATAGTTATATTTGTCTTTGAGATCAAATCTAAGTTGCAATATCTAGAATCATATGATCATTATTAAATTTTATGATTACATGATATTTATAAGCAAATACTAAAATTAATTAAACGTTAATATTTAAAATTGAGCTTCATATATCAATTTAAATATCAATTCTAATGAAAATTTCTTGTCTTATCAATTTACAAAAGTAATAAATACTTCTCATGTATAATTCATCAAAATAAGAAAAAAATGAAAATGAATTCAAAATACAACAGTATATATAAAAAGATGATCTCTATTATACAAAAAATCATTATACATATATGGGTAGTATGCTATTAAAATTGAAGTACAGATCATATGATTTACTATATATCTTAATTTTAATAGCATATCACCTATATATTAAAGTGCTATCTATTGAAAATAAGAAGTTATTTTATTGAAAGCTTTTTTCTCTCAAAATACAAAACAAAAAACTTTAGACTTGAGAAAAAAAGCATATTTCAATAAATAATTTTAACAAAATTATATATTTGCAATTAAATTAACTCTTATATATCATTATTTAATAATAATTTAACATTTAAATATATCACTAGTATACACTAAATTACATTAAATTACCAGATTTTTTTATATATATTAAAATTATATATAAATTACAATTTTAGTTATCAACTAAATATAATTTTTGTGTAATAAATAACCAACAATAAAAATTATGCCAAAATAATTCACAGATTTTATATTTATTATAAAATAAAATTTATATTTTAATAGACTAATATTTAGTATATCTGCCTTTAGCCTTAATTACCACATTAACATGATTAGATAAGCTTAAAATTAAGTGATGTACCATCTCTATGTTAATTTTTCTCCATTTTTCTTGAACTATATTTATTAATTCCTATTTACATTTAGGTAAAAGCTTTTATTTTTCTAACCTGCCGATCTAAATGATTCCACAGGTTTTCAATCAGATTAAGATCAAGGCTTTGTGTTACCTAATCTAAGATTGGAATATTATGTGTTTTCATCCACCAAATGCTATAATTTGATATATAACATGAAGCTCCATCTTGCTAAAAAATAAAGTTAGGATAGTTACTAACCAATGGTATGAAGTGGTTAGCAAGAATATTGATATATACGTCAGAATCCATACTTCCTTTTACTACAACTAAAGATCCAACTTTATGCCAACCAAAATAACCCCAAAACATCACTAAACCATCACCAAATTTAACTATAGGTAAGATACAATTTTTATTATAAGCTTTTCCAGGACTTCTTCAAGCTCTTATTCTTCCATCTGATTCAAAAAGAGCAAATCTGAACTCATCAGACTATATTATCTTTTTCCATTCATCACCCTAGTATCGTTTCTCTCTACTCCATTTTAACTTATTCTTTTGCTGTTTTTAGGTTAAAAGGGTTTCTTACGAGTGACATAAATACTAAGGCCTTCATCATGAAGGTATTTTCTAACTGTGATATTATGCAATGTGATATCAAGACTAGAGTTTAATCTGCTTGTTATATCATTAAGAGGAGTGAAACAATTATTTTGAACAATACGTTGTAGGGTCTGTTTATCACGTTAATTAAGTATTTTAGGATGACTAGAACGCTTCTCAGATATTGCAGAACCTGTTTTTTTGTATCTTTTTATAGTATCGTTGACAGTACTAGTGGGAATACCAAGCTGAGTTGAAATAACCATTTGCTTGGTACCACTCAGATATGCACTGATAATTCTTTCATGTTAAGCTTCGGATAGCTCGTTTTTACGCATTTCTATTTTGAAGAAGATAAAAAATATGTATATATTATTTTTTTTTATTATTTTTATATACATTAGGAAGAAATCGCGAATTTATTACAAATGCAATAAATCACATAATTATAAATCCAGTAATTTAATGTAGGTTAGTATATTTAATAATAATTTTTGGATTATTTTATATACTTATACAAGGTTATTAATTAAACTATATTATTATACTTTACTATTAAATTATTTATCAACAATTTTTTATTATTTATTTTTTATAATATGGTTATCACATGCAATTTTCAATTATTATAAATAAATTAAACTTTCTATTATCTTTTACATTAAACCTTTTTTCTTTTTCGTTTAACCTTTTTATTTTAATCACAATATAATTTACATAATAAAAAAATTAAGTAATCTTTATAATAATTTAAAATTAAATATATATGCTTAAAGGAATACTTATAAACTAACTTATTTTAAAATTTTACAATTATAAGTTATCCTAAAAAACAAACATTGTCTATCTCAATATACAAAAATGCTCAGCATATTTACCTCATATTAAATTCTTAGAGAAACTAATAAATACCATAAATGTATCAAATATTTTACATATACTTAATATTCTGAGCATTCCAAACACCTTAAAAACTACCAGAAGTTCTACTAAAAGTATAAGTAAAGAAAGCCATTTAAATATGTCTGATGACTAGAGCTCCAAACAGGTCAAGTCAAGTCGGGTAATTGACTTGACTTGACCTGACCTGTCTAAAAAAGGAAACTTAAACAATTATTATTTTTGTTTAATTTTTTTTTAAAAAAATATAAAAAAATATTAATACATTTTTACATTTGATTATTTTCAAAAAAAAAAAGATACTAATATAATTATTTTAACTGCAGAATTTAAAATTACAAGTTGTGATAAATCTGCAAATCAGGTGATTACTAATATAATTACGAAAAATATTCATAACTTTACAACTATTAATCCTATCATAATAAAAATTTATATTTACATATTTTCAAACCCGCTAAGCTACTTTACTTACGTGACAAAAATTGATTTCCTTTGACCAAAGTGCTCAAATATCTCTTTGAAGTCACTGTACAGATAAAAAATTAAATTAAAAAAAATTCGTGAGATAATACAATTACGAAAAATGTGCATAACTTTATAACTCTTAATCCAATTATAATAAAATTTTATATTTACATATTTTAAATCCACTGAGTAACTTTAATTATGTACCAAAAGTCGATTTCCTTTGAGCAAAGTACTCAAATATCTTATTGAAGTCACTGTACGAATAAAAAATAAAAATAAAAAAAATTTTGTGAGATAATACAATTACGAAAAATGTGCATAACTTTACAATTATTAATCCAATCATAATATATATTTATATATACATATTTGTGAACCTGCTGACCAACTTTACTTATGCAACCAAAGTTGATTTCCTTTGACCAAAATGCTTAAATTGCCCTTTAAATTCACTAAACGAATAAAAAAATAAAAATATTTTGCGAGATAATACAATCACGAAAAATATTTATAACTTTACAACCATTAATCCAACTATAATAAAAATTTATATGCATATATTTCGAACCTGTTGAGCAACTTTACTTATGCGACAAAAGTTAATTTCCTTTAATTAAAGTGCTCAAATATCTCTTTGAAGTTACTGCACGAATAAAAAATAAAAAAAAAATTCATGAAATAATACAATTACAAAAAATGTGCATAACTTTACAACTATTAATCCAATTATAATATATATTTATATACACATATTTGTGAATCTGCTGACCAACTTTACTTATGCAACCAAAGTTAATTTCCTTTGACCAAAATGCTTAAATTGCCTTTTGAATTCACTAAATGAATAAAAAAAATAAAAATATTTTGTGAGATAATACAATCACGAAAACCATTTATAACTTTATAACCATTAATCCAATTATAATAAAAATTTATATGCACATATTTTCGAACTCTCTGAGCAATTTTACTTAAATAACAAAAGTCGATTTCCTTTGATCAAAGTGCTCAATTATCTCTTTGAAGTAATTGAAAGATAAAAAAAAATTAAAATTAATTTGTTGAACAATGTAATTGCAAAAAATGTTTATAATTTAAAATTTAACTTTTTGATTATAATAAATTACAAAATAATTATACTAATAACTTTATTAGAATATAAAAAGAAAGTATATTAAATAAAATTAAAGATGTTTTAAAAAAAAAAAAAAAATCAAAAAAAAAATTTTTTTAAATATTTTATTTCATTTAATTTGATTAGTTGACCTGAATTTTATCAAGTCGGGTTATAAACTTGACCTGACCTGATATTAATCTGATAATTTGTCTACCTGACCTGGATTTTTCAGGTCAGGTCAGATCAGGTCATAGGTTGACCTGACCTGATTTAGAGCTCTACTGATGACTATGATACTTTACCTGAATTAGAAGATCATCTTTCAAATGAAGATAAGAATTTTATTGATGATTTTATTTTGGAAAATAAGACAGTAGTTTCTAATTGTAAATGGAAAATTGAATCCTCAATGTTTTAAAAATATTAATAAGTCAGCATTACCTGTAATTTATAAAGCTAATTCAAAAGCTTGGATAAGATCTAATATCTTTATTAAATGGCTTTATTATCTTGACTATTATTTTCATACAATTGATTGAAAAATATTACTTCTTGTTGATAATGCAGGATCTTATTTTAATCCAAAACAATTTAAAGAAAATAGTGAAGAAAAAAGTGAGAATGATTTAAATAGTAAGCAAGAATCAAGTCAAAATTATAAAAAAAAAAAAAAAAATAAAACAAAAAAAAGATATTAAACTTATTAATATTAAGTTAATATATCTTTCACCAAATACTACAGCTAAAGTTGCTTGTCTAAACTCATTTTGGATTTGGCAAAATAGTAAAACCTTTAGTTTCGCTAAAGTTTTACTAAATGTTTGATATAGTTTCGCCATTTTTATAAGCTTTGATATAGTTTTACCTTTTTCCAAATTTCGCAAATTTTTTAATAAGATTTTAATATAATTTAACTAAGTTTTACTTTTACTATTTAGACGTCTGTCTAAACTCTTGATTTTGTCTAGCAACCTTAATTACAGCTCATCTTCAACCTATAGATGCAGGGATAATTTATAGTTTTAAAGCAAAGTATAAACAAGAGTTTTGTAAATATATAATTCGTCAATTTGATTCTGGTGTTAATTATATAAAGTAAGTAATAAGATATTATTAATTTTTATTTATTTATTTTATAAAATTATATAAATTAATTAATTTTATTTTTATTTAGAAATAAATTAAATCTTAAAGAAGCTATTGATTTTATAGCTGAAGCTTGGAATAATGTTAGTCAAAAAACTATACAAAATTGTTGGAATAAAATGAAAATACTTCTATTATTTGATGATGTAGATAATGATAAAGTAGAAGATGATGTTGATGAAGTGAAAGATGATGTTGATTTAGATAATGTTGATAAAATTTTTTGATCATTTGGATGAAGCTGATAATATAAAAGATTATTTTAAAATTATTAATAGCGACATTTCAACTGAAGAAAATTTAAGTGATGATCAAATTATTAATTTGGTACAAAAAGAAAATGAGGAAATTAATCAAAGTAATGATGATAATTCTGATGAAGAATTACCTTTAATATCAATTAAAAAAAGTATGGAAGGGTTGAAAACTTTTATTAATTATTTTGAACAACAAAATAATTCTGAGTTTGATTTGAAGGATTTAAGTATTTTTCGAAAATATTTACAAATTATTAAATCTAAAGAATTTAATTCAAGAAATCAAAGTACGCTTGATCAATTTTTTAATTAGGTATGCTTTTTTTTAATACGCTATTATTAATAAATAATATTAATTTAATTTTTTTTTATATATTTTTTATATAATATTTTATTTGGTATAACGTTTATATAAGGTGATAATGGTGTTTATATAGTACATTTTATTTTATATTATAAATTAGTTTATACGGTTAAGTACTTTTAATAAAGTATTATTTTACATTACGTTGTTACGTCCGATTTGTAACTTAAATAAAATTCTCAAAATTAATAATGCTAAGACTAAACTCAGGGAATCACAA